TTCTGCCACTTGCATGCATGCGGATTCTATCGGGTGGTGTTGCGTGTATCAACGGCTTCCCACGCCCAACGAAAACCCATAATTGTGCCCCGTAAAAACATGTCCCTAACAATGGGCCCATGTACGTCACAGCGAAGTATCGGAGCAAAACCGAAGGACCCACATAACTTTCATAAGCTGTGCTTTGGAGCTTCGGTGCTGGTGCTGCTGCAGGGTGCAGACTGCACGTTTGGAGCCTGGGTGCTGGTGCCGCTGCAGGTGGCTGCTGCTGCATCGCGACTGCGCGCTTTGGATGCTGTGTGCTGGTGCCAATGCTGCATGTGTCTGGCGATGATAAACGTCTATGCATATGCCAAAAACAAAGGTTTCGTTGCTCTTTGAGGTCTATCCTAACCAAAACACGTAAGTTGCAAGAACATGCAAGAACACAACCTGCTTGGAAATCCTCTGCGCAACTGCTAGGGCACCCCATTCTTAATGCGAGATTCAAACAAATTGGGCATGACAGGATTGGCGCAATGCATCCCTCTTGGACTGGCAGGGTAGGAAGCCATTGTACCAGAGACAAGCAACGGCAGCTATGGAACAGTAACAGGTGAGGTTAAGCATCATCGCAACTGCAGCAGCAGGACCTTCTATGTAGATCTGTAAAGAGGAGCTCACAAGATCTTCATACAAGAACTTCCTACGCGCACCCCAAGCCAATTCCAAAGCTTCGATAAACGACAGCCTACCGGTATCACCCACATTCCTTGTTTCGACAAGTCTAACGATTGAGCTAGATTTACCCTCCCAAAGAAGCTTCGCTGTAGAGGCCCATCATAGTCAAAGTCACATTGGTTCATGGCATGACGCAATTCTCACAAACAACCCTTCTGCCTTCCGCCAAGGTTGTTGGACACAAGCCCGGACGATGGCAAGTCGGAGCTACTCCACTGCAAACTCTTCGCCTTGGTTGCTGGGGATCTCTACCGCAGTCATGGGGGCCAACTCTTCGAATACAACAATGGCGCATGGGCGCCGGCCTCTCGTGGCCTGACATCTGTGAACCTTGAATTCGTCCTCCAGGCCCTTCGTAGAGCTCAGGCGTATTATTCCATAATGGCCCAGATGAAGCCGAAGAGATGTTATGATGACATTGTCTTCGAGATCAAAGCCATCCAGCAAGTGGGTATGGAGGAGGTTCTCTTGCAATGGCAACTTCAGGATATCATTCAGAGGAAACCTGAAGTCAGAGCACGTGAGTGGCTCTGTGGCCTGTCTGAGCTTTGTCGGACGCTCCGGCACCAATTTGCGGAGCATTCAAGGACATCAAGACTCCCCAAATCATCCCCACGAAGAAGAAATAGAACATGAACTGTTCAACCACTCGCAATTTTTGTCCTACTCCCCCTCGTCTAGTTGAGCTTCCCATCCTGTAAGCTTGGCGCCAGGACCATCGTGAAATGCTTCCAACGTTGGGGCGATGAAGAAATACGGGTCAAACAGCAACCAGGGCTCTGCTTCCAGGATGCATTCATCTCGACTGTGGATGGCAACCCGAAACAAATGCAGAAAGATGCCCGTCATGGTTGTTACATAGCCATCCCTACTCCCATCGCCTTTGTGCCCAGCATGGCCACCAGACAGCGATACGCCAGCATCCTCTTGTCTTCTTTTGCAGGCTCAGATGGATTGCAAGTGCTGCTCAACCAATGTGCTCTGGTTGTGGCCCGTGTCCGGCAGCCTGACATCTTGCACATTGTTGTTGGATGTGGACATGACGTAAAAACTTTGATTTTTGTCGATCACTTGCAAGCTGTCTTTGGCAGTGCCTTCAGTTGCGCTCCGTGCGGCATGCTGCAATCGGAGCGAGAATTCCAAGCCCAAGGTGCCAATTTCATACATGCAGCCTTCCTCACCTTTGATGAATGCAAAAGAGATTCAGGAATCATGGAGGATATCGTCAAAGTGTTCGTCGGAGGTGGCTGGCTACCCCTCCGCAGAAACCACGAAGCAGAGACTAGATACGGGAATTGGGCATGCACTGGCAAAGTCTGGGCAATGAATTCCGGTGACATCCCTCGTGTTCCAACGGCGGAAGAGGTTTCCCATCAAAGGCGGTTCCGCTGCACCTACATGCGGTCCACCTTCACAGCCTTGGAGGAGGAAGTTGACATCCCCAACAAAGTCTTCCATGCCGACCCTGGGGCCAAGTCCTTTATGTCTTCTGGCGAAGCAGTGTGGTGCTTCTTCCAAGATTTCCTTTTCCCTCATCTTCGGGCAAACGGGGCGCAAACATGCAGTGACAACCTGGAGTACATGAGGAAAGGCACGAGCATGCACAAAGATACCCACTGGTTGCTGAGGAAGATGAACCGCACCACTGACTGCATCCATCCAGACACAGCCCAAGGCCTTGAAGCCCAGAATGAAAGACCTGGTGAAGCTCCTGCAGCGACTTTGCCTGAGCGCATTGTCCGGGAGACTCACGCCTCCATCCACGCCCAATTCTTCTCCGCAGCGTCTGCCTTAGTACATCCGCCAATTTGCTGTCCATTGGTAGAACAATGTAAATTCTCTTCCAACAGTCAAACTCCTGGAGTACAGTTCTTTTTTTAACATACCCTTCGCCGCCCGGCCCATATCGAAGATTTTATTTGTTCGCTTTGCCTTAAAAGCATGCTATGCCATACTATGCCTTTCCTTTTGCCGAGGCAGACATCAACCGGATTGTTGTGCCTTCCAATCCGGGCTCTGCTCCTCCAAGACGGCCTGGGAAGAAACTACGGGTGGAATATTTGAAGGATTCTTTGCAGCAGTTTCCTCACTTGATCCGCTTGGTCGACGGTCTCCAACGTGCAGGAGCCCCCTTGGACCGCTTTGAGCGCCGGTGCCTCGATGCTGACAGTTGGCACCAGTGCCTCCAAACATGCCTAGAAAGCCAGAACATCCCGGAAGTGGTTGGAACATGGAATGATTGGCTCTGGCCCAGCGCTGCGGAAGCTTCAGCCTACAACACCGATGAGACACCAGGATTTCCCCGAGGAGACGCTTGGGAAATTTCCTGCCGGATGGATGTTGCTGGCTTGAAAGAGTTTGCGGAGATGGTCCCTGGTGATAAAGGAGAACACGCACGCCTACTTGCAGAGCTTTGTGAAAGAGAAGGCACAATCGAGGGTGACGTGACCATCCTTTCCACATTGGGGCACCAGAAGAAAGTCGCTGGCGCATCCTTGGGGCGTGTTTTCTTCCCCTGGATCAGCTTTCCAAATTTGTCCCGTTCCGCCCGGGACTTTGGAAGCCCGCCTGGAACCAAGGAGTTTGATATGCCCAATGCAGTGGTTCACTTCGCATTGGTCTGGGCAAAGGAATATGGGCTCGACCTGCCTTGCTTCCAACGCTATCATGCAAACAAAGGGACATGGCGGAAGATCGTCATGCAGTGGTTTGCCCTTGCCGAGCAGGATGCAAAGAAGGCCCTGTTGCAGGCTTGCTTTGGTTTTGCTTTCCCATCGCGTGCGAGTGGCAAACCTGTGATTTGCCCATTGCTTGAAGGCTTAGCAGCAGATGCCATGAGGCTGCGGGCCACCATGTGCGAAAGGCACCCTAGCTTGCTGGCAGCCATGCGGGCAGCTGGCCGACCGAGACCAGAGACTTCCACCATGGCTTTCCTGCTCTTTGACAAGGAAAACCAGACCATGCAAGCATTCTGCAAATTACTGCCAAAGTATGGGTTTGCTTTGGTTGCACCTGTCTTTGATGCAGTGCTGGCCGTGCCACAGAGCAGAACAGAGGAAGATGGCACCGAGAGGGCGCCAAATCAAGATGCTTTGCTCAATGATTTTCGCGACAGCACAGGAATCACGATGCAGGTCAAAACATTGAGCCGCACCAGGCCGCAGGCGACTGTGCCGAACATATTGCGCGAACTCTTGTCCAACAACATGGCCATCCGTATGGACCCGGTCCAGCGCCTACCTGGGCGCTTCTCATGCATTGGCACTGCTCTCCTGAACCTGTTTCCAGACGAAGCCAATGGTATCAAAGAAGCAACCTCCAATTTGAGCAGCCCGATCTCCTACCACCACACCATGGAGATTTGCCCCAATGTTCTCATTGAACCAACTTCGTTCGATCAAGCCACTCAAAGCGGTGACGGGACATGTTTCCTGGTCCATGCGTCAAACACTTGGGATGCTGACGTTGGTCATGCATATGGTGTGAAAATGGTGGAGGCTACCGCCCAGATCTACACCTCGACAGAGGAGGAGTACATCCAAACCAATACGCAATTGCTCTGGCAGAAGCTAGCAAAGACACCAGGCACGTACATCTTCAAAGTCTCCATTATCAGTCAGGATGGGGAACCGCAGGCCAAGCGTCGCAAAAAAGATGCGGCGTCGACGACTTCAGTTGAACTTCTTTTGAAAGCCGGTGTGGTGGAGGCTGAGGAGACTTTGCGCCCGGTCATGCCACAAGTTCGAGAGCGCATGTCTAGGGAGGTTTCCCAGGAACTTGCCCGTCCCAAGCTTAGTTACCACAGTTGCAAGGTCAACAGCATCCATGATACTCCATGATGTCAAATTTCTTGTTGTATATGACAAACTTTTCCTCTTTGCTAGTCGCTGGCCTTTCAGACGTTACCCCAAAAAGGCATCACGACAGCAGGAAGCGTCGAGGAAAGTATACGCCTGCCTGTGCAGGATTCATTTCAGAGACAATATGATAATACCAATATCAGCCACCGTAACCTCTAAGCATTTTTGATATCTTAAGTTTCTCAGGTTTGCAGCGCGAAGCTGGTCGATCGAATCCAGAAGCAGCGTATGCTTGTACCATGTGCCCCTTCCGTACATTCAGCCGAAGATCATCCCTCCTCACACATGTCGAAAAATACCACACGGCAGAAAAGGATTTTGTCACCAACAAGCAACAGTTCTATGTCGCATGTGCCATCTTTGAGCAGAAGCAGGCAGGTTCGAACCACATCTGTTGTAAATACACATGCGCACGTGGACATGCCATGCTTCGTTATCCGCCAGGCCTTACGACCTCTGATACCTGGCTGCCATGCAGAAGATAACCTACTTTCCCTGGCAGCAACCTGCATTCGATCTTGGGCAAAACTGGATGCAGACTCGCTCCGCTACCTCTCCACCCAAAATTTTGTGGACATGGCGTTGATTCTCACTGGCACTGGCCCACAATATGTTCTCAAGCAACAAACAGCACAAGCTCTGCGGATCAACAAGATGCTCTACATTAGCAATGATTTCGCAGATTTGGTGCTGGCCAAGGCAATCAAACACCGAGGCAAAGTCCACACGATGTTCAACGACATCACAAGTGATTGGGTCTCTCGAGGAAGCTCTTGCGCACTGCTTGGTTGCCGCAGAGGAGATACCCGCCAGGCGGTGTTTCAAGAAGTCATGGCCTTGAAGCCAGTGCGTGACTTGCATGCAGGCTTGGTTGAAGCTGCCACTGAGCGCCAAGAATGGCTTGTTTGCAGTCATGATGCAACATATCAAGTATTGTTCAGCGCCATTGGACAAGTGCCAATGCAACAGAAACAAGGTGAATTCCATGCCCTTCACACGTTTCTTGGCCGGTCGGGCGCTGTGCCTGGCTTCAGCCTTCAGCGCACGGAGGGTCCTGCTCAGTTTCGGGCGGCCATTGCTGAAGTCCTGCCTCAAGCTGCTCGGGACACGGTCAAGTACATCTTCTCTGATAGCCCTACCTCTGTAGAAGGCGCGGCCGAAGTCTTGCCAAACTTGGAAGCTGTCGCAGAAGATGCTTTGCATTTGGTGCTGCGCGTGGAAGCTTGTACTGGAGAGAAGCGCACTGCCTTGTCCTCATGCTTGCTCAAGATCCAAACCCGCTTCCGCCTGCCATACGCAGCTCCGTTCTTTCGTGGCCATGCTGTGGAAGACCCTCCTGATGCCGGCAACTGGTCGGACAATCTGATGGACAAAGAAGCTACCGAAACAGATTGGGATAAAAAAGCAACCAAACCATACTGCAACCACCAGGAGTATATCAATGACATCCAAGCCCTTTGCACTGCGTTTCCAGACAACATGGGCCACAAGGACAAGAAAGGGCGCACAATCCGCCAGATCTTGAAGGCCGGGGCTTCCTACACTCATTTTCGCTACTTGTGGAACGGATCGCACATCATCTCTGCACTCCACGACGTGCTGCCACCTGCGGAGCTCCAACTCCTGAGTTTTGGCACGTGCAGCAATGAAGCCTTGCACTTTCAATTGAAAGCTTGCCAAGAGCAAATCATCCAGCAGCACATCCAAACCTTCCCACCACAACTTGCAGCTTTCAGCTTGGCCAAGATGTTGGCCCACCATTCGGCCGCATACTTCCACACCTTGGCACAAAGAAAGGAGTCTGAGATTCTCAGCTTAATGCAAGGCTGCTTGAAAAAGGGTTTTCTGCCAGCTCTTGAGGAAGGGCAGGTACAACCCATTATCAGCAGGCAAGACTTGCGCAAGCCAGTGCGCAGGGTGAATCCTGGGAAGTTGGCCGCAAGAAAAGAAACGGCTGCAAAAAAGGCCGCACAATGGAAGAAGGAGACCCGCAACCGACAGCTGAAGAACAAGGAGAAAGTTCAACATAAAGGCGCCTTCAAGCGCACCGTCTTTACTCAACAGAAGTGCCTTGGCAGGCTTACATGCACAGACCCGCAATCCACACTTATCCGTCCTGCACAATGTGCTGTCACTATAGCTTTGTCACTGGTGCCTTTCCGTTGCATGCATTACTGCCTCATCCGCAATATCGGCCAAGTCTTCTTTAAATTCAATCGTCTGTCGCGTGCTCTCCCGAATAATTGCATGCCTGGCCAATGCGCAATGTGTTTCTTAAAACTTTTTTGTTGTGCTCCCACCAGTACGCACATAGTTTAGCAACAAACCATCCAGCTGCAGATGGTCCCTACCTTGATGTCGTGGCCCTTCTACACATTCAAATACCCCAAAGATAAATTGTACCTGCACCGCTAGCAGCCCCAATAGCATAGCCATTTTCATTAAACCGTAAACTCAATCTGCCCCGTCTGCCTACTTGATCACGTTCTCCTACCACGCCAACAGTAACTTTCCCTGCGCCCCATGTTGAAATAAATCAAAAACATGCGTTTTAATTTTACGGTAACCAATGGTAACCAAAGTACATCAAAGTCTGCAGCAACAAAAGGCCACGGGCCCCTACCGCGTATACCTCGGACAACGGAACTATAGCAAAAACTCGAGGCAGATGAAGGCATTCAAATCGTAGCGCGCATATGTTCGATGAGTGCAATTAAGACAACCTGAAAGGATCAGCCACTTTATCCTCCACGTGCGTGCCACTAAACAGCTTCTGATCCACTTGCCACTTCTGCCCCTGCGCTGCAGTAACAACATCAAGCCACAACAGGCCGGAGCTGGGCCGCTGTCCACCCTCGCCAGTGGCGGCGGCGCCCTTGAGAACTTTCCTTCCAGCGCCCGCCGTCCGGAGCTGGGGGTCAAGCCCTCGCCAGTGCCTGGGGTGGATAAATAAAGAGAAAAAGAAGAGAGAGAGAGAGAGAGAGAAAAAAAGAGAGAGAAAAAAAAAAGATACAGAAAGTGAGAAACAAACATCTTGCATGCCAGATCGCGATCGCGAGACCATTACGCCGAGATTCCGCATGTCCACTCCGTACCAGAACTTTGATGCGCAATGTCCAGCATGATTTTCGTGTTGTGATTGCAGGGTTTGATGTGCATTGTCAAGGCATATCTGCTCTTGTTGGCTGTCATTGGATATAGAAAGCTATATAAGATGCTGTGTCTTTGTTTGTTGTTGCTATCCGTGGATCTGTTCATATTTAATCTTTTGTTCGAACGCCATTCCTTTTTCAACAAATCAACAAGTGCGGTGCTGCGAGCCAGGCGGCCAAAACGCAGCGCTGCAGCTGAATCTTCGTCAGCTGCGGATGAACCGCGATGAGCTGCCAAGTGGAGTCAATTAA